ACCACCAGAGTTCCTTGTACACAGCAAAGTACACCCAGCTCACCAGTTTCTACGTGGACAAACCAGTGGCATTTACTAGTCTTCATGCTGTGCAAGCATTCTCGCCCTCCTTTTCTGAGTTGTTCCTCCCTCACTGATACAAACTCACTGCTCCCCAAGGTTAGACATTGTCTGCATTAAGCTAAACTATTGTTTGGTTTTAGGAAGACTTCAAGGGATATTTTTGGTTTAAGGTTTAAAGATTCTATCAGGACAGTAGTTTGAGGGGCTCATCTAGCCTCCGTGGCTCCAGGAAGTCTGGATTCCATGAGCATTTGAAATTCTGTCCTGTGTGTTTCCCCCTTTGATCAAGATTCTTCTACAGAATCTTCCACCAGAATGTTTGGTAACGGCAGGCGGACACCATCAAATGTATTTCTGTAAACTTGCAGTGAACAGTCTGAAGACAAAATTAACAAAACACTTCCATCTATAACAGCATCAAAAAGAATAAAATACTTAGATTTAACAAAAGAAGTATAAAACTTGTACATCGAAAACTATAAAACATTGCTGAAAGAAATTAAAGAAGATCTAAACAAATGGGAAAATATCCCATATTCTTGGATCCAAAACCCAAATCAAACCCGTTGCCATTGAGCCAGTTCTGACTCATAGTGACCCCATAGGGTTTCCAAGCCTTCAAATCTTTATGGAAGCAGAGCAGCTGGTGAATTCGAACCACTGACTTTTTTCAACCACTGTGCTACCAGGGCTCCTTAATATTGGATCAAAACACCTATGTTGTTAAGATGCTCATAATCCTCAGATTGGTCTACAGAGTTGACACAATCCCTAGTGGTGCTCTAGCTGGCTTCCTTGTAGACACTGACAAAGCTGATCCTAGAATTTATGTGGGATAGCAAGGGACCCTGAATAACAAAACAATCTTGAAAAAAGAACAAAATTAGAGCACTCATGCTTTCCAATTTCAAAATTTACCACAAAGCAGTAAGAGCTTGTGGTACTGGTGTAATGGTAGACATACAGAGATTGGTTGGGCAGAAATCAGAGTCCAGAAATAAACTCGTCTTTGATCAGCTCACTTTGAACAGCAATGCCAAGGCCGTTCAATAGGGAAAGCATAATCTTTTTACCAAGTGGCTGGGACAGCTTGCATCCCCACATGCAAAGAACGAAGCTGAATTCTTCCCTCACACCATATACATAAATTCACTCAGAATGGATCAAAGACATAGATAAACATGAGGGGGAGTCTTCGTGACCTTAGATTTAGCATTGGATTCTTAGATGTGGCACCAAAAGCACAAGCAACAAGAGGAAATAGGGATAAATTAAAAAGTTCTGTGAATCCAAGAACACTTGTTAAGGAAGTAAAGGACAACTCACAGAATTGGAGACAAATATTTGTAACTCATACCTGATAATAAACCTATATCTAGAATATATGAAGAACTCTTATGACTCAACAGTACAGAGAGAGAAACCCAACTTGAAAATGGGCAAAGGATCTGAATAGACATTTCTTTAATGAAGATACAGAGATGGTCCCTGAGCAGGGGAAAAGATACCTTCATTTGTCATCAGGGAAATGCAAGTCAAAACCACAGTGACGTACCACAATATAAGCACTAGGCTGGCCGGTGAAGAAACTGAAGGTCACGCAGCTGGTGAGAGTGGAAAGTCCACCCTATTCGAAGGAGAGAGGCCTGGAGGACCAAGCCTGTGCCGCTGTGGTGACTGCTTCTCAGTGTAGCGGTCACTGGACTCCGAATGCATGTGTTCTGTGTATTTTGGAAAAGGCAAACCCATAGGGACAGTGAAAAGGTCAGTGGTTGCCAGAGGTTCAGAGAGGCTAGGAGGGGTGAACTGGCGGAGCACGGGGCAGAGGAATCCTTCTGTGGGATACTGTTAACAGTGGACACATGACGCTAACTGGTTGTCACATCCCCTAAGACAACACCAGAGTGAACCCTCATGTAAACTAGGGGCTTCAGTTAACAATGTATCAAGACTAGTTGACCCACTGTCACAGCCATATGGCAGGAAGGTACAGTGCTAATTGCTAATAACAGGGGAAGCTGTGGGGAAGTTGGGAAGGAGGTGGGCACGGGGACGCTACACTTGTGTGTCGTTTTTTTGGTAAACTTCAAACTGTCCTAAAAAATAAAGTCTGTTTTAACATTCATACACGGTGTTAATTTTAAATGAAATTTTGCCAGAATGTAGAGTTTTAAATGGTGCATTTTACAGGTATAGTCCTTAGTTTCAAAAATGACCAGGTTATTTTTCATGAAGTTGTATTTTTGCACATAAAGCACTGCCATCGAGTTGTATCTGACTCATAGCGACCCCTCCCTGGGTTTCCGAGGCAGTACCACTACAGAAGCAGATAGCCAAACCTTCCTTCTGAGTGGCTGATGGGTTTGAACCGCCAGCCTTCTGGTTAGCAGTCAAGTGCCTTAGGCACTATACCACCAGAGCTCCCTATTTTTGTACATAGTAAATAAATATTATATTTTTTACTTTAAAAAAGGGAGTGTGTACCATTTGTAACCATATTTATGTATTTTGTTGGTTGTACAGGGAGAAGACGCCCATTATCAGAAAAAAAAGTGATGCACTATATGTACCAGCTGTGTAAAGCCCTTGATCACATGCACAGGTAGACGGAGAGAGCCCAGAGCACCTCACAGATACGTGTAATACAGCGAAAGAGCCTCAGTCAGTGAGGGACCATTCATTCTGTTCTTCCTTTTATCTTAAATACAGAAATGGAATATTTCACAGAGATGTGAAACCAGAAAACATATTAATCAAGGTAAGAAATTTTGCATGAAAAATTGATATCAAAATAGAATAGACACATTTCAGATGAAATCTAGCTTCCGTTCCATGATTGCTATAGGTTTGTTTTTCCCAGCTTGGAAGAAGTCACTTATTTAATTTAATAACTCTTATGGTATAGTGGTTAAGGCATTTGGCTGCTAACTGAAAGGTCAGTGGTTTGAACCAACCAGAAGAAAGATGAGGCAGTCTGCTTTCATAAAGATTTACAGCCTTGGAAACCCAGTGGAGGTCGCCATGAGTCAGAATTAACTCGATGGCAATGGATCTGGTTCTGTTAACTGACTGCACACCTGGAAGGAAGGCATCTTGGGCACCTTTCCCACAACCATATCCAGAAGAAGCCCATTCACAGGGTCGTTCTAAACACTCTGAATCTAGAAGTGGTAGAGGCAGGACTTGAACCCTAGTCTGCCCCACTCCAAAGCCACTCATACTGCACATATGTAGGGTGTAACATGTGAAGATTCTTGGCACACGACCATATAAAACCATCATCGCAATCAAGACCGAGAATATAACCACCCCTGTAGCCTCATAGTCGCCCCCCTGTCCCCAGGCAGTGACTGACGTACGTTCTGTCACACGGTAGCTTGCAGTTCCTAAAATGTCCCATAAATGGAATCGTACAGTCTATTCTTTTGTCCGACTTTTTCCACCCAGGTTAGTGATTCTGAGATTCACCCGCACGGAACCTGTGAAGTAGCTCCTTCCGCTCCCGTCCATTCTTCCTTCCCGGCCGCGTTTTGTGTTGACTCCAGAGACATTTCAGCGTATTTCCGTTGTTAGCTGTGCCTCTTTGTTCTGTCACTCTAGTAGCCATCTCCACTGCGTATCTGGCTTCAAGTGATATTACATCACTTCTCAGAAAGCCTAAGAACTGGGCCGCTGTCATCCATTGACTTTTCCATAGTCTTAAACTCCCAGAACATTGTGGTTATTTTGCTTAACAGTCAGTTCGCTTTTGAACAGATTGAAATATTTCTCCTGTGGGGACATTTCCGCTGGCGCCTGCGTGTACGTCCGTATTTCTGCCTGAAGAAATTCCTTTCGTATTTCTCGTTGTGCAGGCCTGCTACTGGTCAGTTCTTTCCTCCTGTAGTAGGTGTTTTATAGACCCGAAAAAGTGTTTTACCGTCATTGCTGAAAGACTTGCACTAGGTGTAGCATTCTAGGTTGACAGTTTTTCTTTCAAGATTTTGACGATATTTCTGACTGGATTGCAGACATTGTGGACTTTGCCTGGTTGGCTGATGGATATTTTTGTAGTTCTCTGCACCTTCTAAAGAGCCCTGGTGGCACAGTGGTTAAGTGCTTGGCTGCTCTCCGAAAGGTTGGTGGTTCCAACTCACCAGCCGCTCCGTGGAAGAAAGTTGTAATGGTCTGCTCCTGTAAAGATCGACAGCCGTGGTATCCCTACGGGGCGGTTCCGCTCTGTCCTGTAGGGTCACTATGAGTCATAACTGAGCTGACAACAGTGGGTTTTGTTTCGTTTGAAATAAATCTCTGGGCTTTGCTCTGTTCCTTGGCAGTGGTGTGACTCTTCTGGGTCTTTCTTTCCGACCTCGTAGGTGGGATGGGGGCCTCTGGTGGCGTAGTGTCTAAGGCATCTGACTGCTGACCAGAAGGCTGGTGGTTCATACCAATCAGCCACTCCTCGGAAGGAAGGTTGGGTAATCTACTTCTGTAGAGGCACTGCCTCGGAAACCCAAGGAGGGGTTGCTATGAGTCGGGTCCGACTCGACGGCAGTGGGTTTGGTCTGTTTTTTGGTTTAGGTGGGCTAGAGCAGCAGTTAGTCTGGGGATGACCACTCCCCACAATGGGGTAAGACCCCCTCACACTCTACTCAGCTAAAGCAAACCGGTTGCCACTGCGTCAACTCCAAGTCCTGGTGACGCACATGTGTCAGCAGAGCTGTGGCCTGTGGGGTTTTCCAGCTGCTGTTCAAGACCAGATCACCAGACCCTTCTGCTGAGGTGCCCTGCGTGGACTCGAACCTCAGCCCTTAGGCCAGCAGCTGGCACATTCCCTGTCTGCACCACCCGAGACACTACCCAGGGCCCGTGAGTGTGACTCTGCAGTGCGGCTGGTGAGCAGGCGCTTCTCCCAGCCCCGTGTCAGCGCGGGCACGGTCGCCGCTCGTCCTGCCTCAGTTCTCTCCCTGCCTTGGCAAGTTCCTCAGTGCTGGCCACCGGGCTGGCTGCAGCCCTCCGCCACCTGGTCTCCCTGGACCCTCAGCCCCGTCTCCTCGCTTCAGGGACTTGGCCGGGCACCTCCGGGCTCGCTCCCCTGTTGTGCAGCTGGAAAGTCCCTGGAGGCAGACAACCTGAGATGAATGAGCCCTGTGGTACAGTGGTTAAATGTTCCGATGCTAACTGAAAGGTCGGTGGTTCAAACTCACCATTGGCTCCATCAGCAAGGACCTGGAGATCTGCATCCGTACAGATTACAGCCCAGAAAGCCCTAGGGAGCAATGCCACTCTGTCCTATAGAGTCACCAGGATGCAGAATCAACTCAGGGCACCCAGCCAGCAGCAGCACCACCAGTGGGTCGTTCCAGCCTTCGTAGCCTGTTCGTAACACGTCTATTTCTGCCCATTGGGTGCCGACTAATTGGAATCAGTTAGGTATTTTAATACATTTGGTTTGTTTGTGGCCTTCATCTTGTTACCTTGAAATGTAAGGGGTAAAGAAAATAGAAGTATCTGAGGCATTTCCCTGCACGTGTCTGACTTGCTGTCAGGACAGGATCCGTCCTGGGCTTGCAGGGCCCTGGGTGTAGTACGGCCTGGGCCCTGGCCACCTGCTCGAGCCCAGAGCAGAGCTGCCAGCCAGCTGGACTGTGAAAAGGAGCCTGAGACGTTGAGTGGACGTTCTGTCACTATGTTCATTTGTAGAATCGCACGACCCCTGAAATGTTCCTAAACCTGTGGCAAACCCTTCGCAGTCAAGTCAATTCCGACTCATAGCGTCCCTGTGAGACAGTGGATCTGCCCCATGGGGTTTCCAGGCTGTACATCTTCACAGACTCAGACCGCTTCATCTTTCTCTTACAGAGTGGCTGGTGGGTTTGAACCACCAACCTTTTGGTTGGCAGCTGAGCACTTAACCCTTGTGCCACCAGGGCATATAGGTGCAAACTTGTAGACCTTTGGACATACATGTAAATCATGGACAGCCGGGTATTTGCAGGCACGTTCCACCAGATGGAATCAGCACTGCCCCGTGTCAGGCCACTCACAGGTGCATGGAGGAGCCAGGCCTCTGTTTCATAAGCTGGTTTAGACGTCTACCTTGTCATTTTCCCTTCAGTGTATAAAGACTTGAGATGTCTGTGGAGGAAAGCTGCTCAGGGGGGTGCTGTTGTCTCTGCCCTGCCCCCGCAGCAGGATGTCCTGAAGCTGGGGGACTTTGGGTCCTGCCGGAGCGTCTACTCCAAGCAGCCATACACAGAGTACATCTCCACGCGCTGGTACCGGGCCCCGGAGTGTCTGCTCACTGATGGCTTCTACAGTTACAAGATGGACCTGTGGAGTGCCGGCTGTGTGTTCTACGAGATCACCAGGTAGGACCGCTGGCCTCGCCTGGAGAACCCCACGGTGCGGGAGGGGTCCTGTCTCACCTCATAGGCAGAGGATGGGGACGGTGTAGCCCCACAGTGCAGGTGGGGCCCTGCCTGACCCCATGGCAGAGGTGGGAGGGTAGGACGATGGAGAGATCCCTCTGTGCAGGTGGGGCCCCATCTCGCCCCACCGTCAGAGTGTGGTGGGGCAACATGGTGAGTGGCCAGGCTGGGGCCTACAGGATAGCACGTTCCAGCAGGCCTAAGCCTTTCTGGGTTTTTCACTGTTTGTAATGGAAAATTAATTGGCTTTCATTTACCTTGTATTGAACACTTCTTCACGCTTGCCTTTCCTGGAGACTGAAACTCCTTTGCTCCCATCACACTGGCTTAAATGACTGCTGTTTGTTCAGGGAGAGAGGGGGGCCATGCCTGCTGCCACCTTCTGTGGCCCGTCCTGGGAGGTGTGAATGGGTAGCCCCTGGAGCACGCTCTGAGCACCAAAAGACCCAAGCCCCGCGCGTGGGAGATGACGCACCTGCTGGCATCTACCACCCCTACCCAAGGCCTCCGAACCCCAGCCTTTGGGCTTCGTGGCTGCAAGGAGCAGTGGCCCAGGAAAGAAGAGGCCAGAGTTCGTCCCACTCAGCAGAGGGTGGGGCGTCCTTAAAGAGGCTGAGGAAGGTGTGGGGCAGACACGGCCCTGCGGGGAGGGTTTCCGTGAGCTGACGTCTGGATGACGCCCATTAGGGAGCCTGGCCAGGGTGCTGCCTGCTCGCTTCATCAGTCCACACAGATGACAGCTCAGGGCACGTCCTCTTCTGTCCCGGAGCTCTCATACGGTAACTGACCGTGTGATGTGGGGAAGCCGAGTAGCAGCCTGACTGAGGTCAGAAGTCCCGACGATGAACTCAGAGCCCGTTTTCTAGCGCTTCAGTGTGAAGAGCGCAGGGACTGACAGCACCTGGCCGTCGGTAGCTTTCCTTTCCTATCTGTATGACATCAGTGTTTTCCTGACTAGAAGCCAGTCTTAATTCTTAACAAACTGATATCTGTGGCATGAGATGTGGACTGCATCTGTACAGGTCTGAAATATTTTATCCACAGTTCCAAAACCCCTACAAACTCTGAAAACCAAAGGCAGAGATCTGACCGGTATTTGTCGACACAACTTACCTGGGTCAGTACTGGGGGCTCCTGGTCATGGTTATGGACCATGGTTAGTGCACGTGTTCACATGTCACTGCGGAGACACCTCTGTGCAAGAAGACCGGAGCGTGAATCACAGAGACACCGCTGCGTGCGCAGACCAGAACATGGGCCGACACCGTTGTGCGGGAAGACCGGAGTGTGGGCCGCAGAGAAGCCGCTGTGCGAGGTGGAGAACGTGGCCCGTGGAGATGTTACTTGTGCACACGGCAGTGTGGGTCTGGAGCTCACCTCTTGGCAGAAGGCATTCGGCGCCTGTTGGCAACGTGGAAATAGAAAGGCTGAGGAAAGGGAGGGAGGAGACCTGGGTCATGCAGGCAGAAGGTGGGAGGTTGAGTCCACCCAGATGGCACCCCAGAAAAAGTCCTGGGGATCCACTTCTGAAAAGTCAGCCGTTGAAAACCTGGTGCAGCAGCTCTGCTCCAACCCACGGGGGTGCCGGAATGGGAGTCACGGCTACTGTCCTGAACCGTAGGGGAAATTGGGACTCAACCCCGGTGTTCCGGTCACCTCGTGCTGCTCTGACAGGAATATACCACAGGTGGGATGGCCTTAACAAACAGGAGTTTATTCTTACAATTTGGAGGCTTTAAGTCCAAGTTCAAA